TCAACTTTTTTGCCGCTGAATATTAAAGGAGGATGAAGACAGAAGAAACGCAGTACAATGGAGAAAGTCAGAGAATTGTCAGAGAAATTAAGGGGAAAAAATATTGTCCTTTTTCAAAATAAAATATTAAAAACATAAGCCTTTCCTTATACCTTATGGTAAGAAAGCACAGTGAGTCTGTTCCCAAGACTTGATTAATGTAGTGCATTCAATGAGGCTGTCATTAGTAGCCTAGACTTTCTGCTGCAGTGGGACTGGCCTTTTAAAAATTATCACAAAGAGGAAATCTAATGATGTGTTAATATTGACAAAGTTTCCCAACCTGTGATCTCCCAGGACATGGCTTATATTTGTCTGATTTTGTCTGTAATGTCTTTTTTGAAACCTGTTGACTGTGAACACCCCAGACAGTGAGCAAAGGTGTTCTTATTTAGTCCTGCCACCAACATACCAATGGCATGAAGGATTAGCAGGGTGTATTGGTGAATCATAAAAATAACACCACAAAACATTTAATCCATATCCAAAATATATTTTATATCTCATATCTATTTTCTATAAACAACCACAAATAGACGACCAAGATTCTTTTCATGCTAAGTATACATTTTCATGATAAAATGCGTCTTCAAATCCTTGAGGTTTTTTGGCCCTGTGTCATTTCATTTGTTTTCTTCATTTACTCGGATTTAAAAACCAGTGATTCATCAGCACTGCATTTTTGTGGGTTGTGGTTTTTAGTACAGTTCATTTAAACCTCTGTGGTGAACTTTGTCCGATGCACAAAGCGCAACCAATATAGACACCACTGGGTGATTGTCCTGGTATGTAATTCATTCTAATTCTAACACTAGTGTCTCAGTTGTGTGATACCATGTCTGACAATCGTGCAGAGGAGGAGCACTGACTCACAAAAATAAGAAATTTCTGCATTAGCTGCGCGGGTGTATTGATGTTTGATGTGCTGGCTATTCACTTTGATTCTTTTACATGTGCTATGACATAGTGCTTTGATTGTTGACCTTTACTGCAGCCTGCACCCCTTTGGTTCTCAAAATATGATCAATTCATAAAAAAATGTTGAAGTAAGTCAGTTCTTTAAACATAAAATATATCGTAGCGATTGAATTAAAAAGTTAGAATTATATACTGTATTTATTTTTTTGCAGTAAAATTATGAATACATAAAAAATGACACACTTTTAAGTTTACCTTAACCAGCAGCCATGTCACCCTGCAACCCACAACTGGCAACCGACTGAAGCTAAGCAGGTGTGAACCTGGCCAGTACCTGGATGGGAGACCTCCTGGAAAACTAAGGTTTCTGCTGGAAGAGGTGTTAGTGGGGCCACCAGGGGGCGCTCACCCTGTGGTCTGTGTGGGTTCTAATGCCCCAGTATATTGATGGGGACACTGTACTGTAAAAAGGTGCCGTCTTTTGGATGAGACATGAAAACTGAGGTCTCTGTGGTCATTAAAGATCCCATGGCAAAGGGTAGGGGTGTAACGCCGGCATCCTGACCAAATTTCCCATGGGCATATACCAATCATGGCCTCCTAATAATCCCCATATATGAATTGGCTTCATCACTCATCATCACACATCATCCAGGTGGGAGCTGCACATTGGTAGTGATGGAGGGGAGTCCCAATTACCTGTAACGTGTTTTGAGTGGAGTGTCCAGAAAAATGCTATTTGTGTAAGGACTTATTATTATTATTTCCTTAAAATATGAGAGTTTGATGAAACAAAGGAGTTGTATTGACGTGCTTGTGATTAATTTGTTTTTGAAGATTTATCTTTTAAAAAATTATAAGACATGTCAGAAAAGACGTCTCACACCTCCAGGGAGTGTGTGCACCCTATGTTAAGAACCACTGCTATAGAGGTATAAATATATACAGTGTATTGTAACCAGTGTTTCTGCCCCTAAGGAGGAATTTTTAGTTGTCTGTGTAGCTGAATAATGATGCATATGTATACCTACTTTAACTTGAACTTGTATTTGTACATCACAGGAGCCCAATTTAAAACATCTGAAAAATATTTTTTTTTTTTGCTTTTGCTTGTTGCTTTTAATATGTCACTTAAACATGAAATGGTTTAGACTGTTATAGGCATTATGTCTTTGCTCTAGTTATGTGACTAAAG